GCAGCTCTCCACGCTGGGCTGCCTCCAACCGCTGCTGCTCGAAGCTCCCCAGATCATGAGCCTGCACGTCGACACACTGGTCACCAAGTTCCTCAGCCTCACCTCCAGTCCCACCATGGTGCGTGTGCCCCCTCCTTCCACCCTCACACCCCTCTCCTCCACCCCTGCCCCTTCCGCTGCCCTCGCCCCGTCTGTCTGTTCCAGGCTGTCCGAATTGCCGCCCTGCGCTGTGCCCATGCACTTACCAGCCTGCCCACAACAGTGGTAAGTGCCCTGCGTCGTCCGTCTGCCTGCCTCTGCATATAGAGGGGCAAGGGTGTCCCAAACCTCCTCCTGGGAGTCAGCCAGCACCCAGGTCTCTTACCAAGAGCCCTTTCTGTCCTAAAGCTGCTCCCGTACAAGGCCCGAGTTATCCGGGCACTGGCCAAGCCTTTGGATGATAAGAAGAGGCTGGTGCGGAAGGAAGCGGTGGCAGCACGGGGGGAATGGTGAGTGCATGTGGCTGGAGCTGCTGGGGCGCTGGCTTGTTGGGGACATGGCTGATGGCACCATCTCTGCCCCCACAGGTTCCTGCTGGGGAGCCCGGGCAGGTGAGCGCCCTGCGTTCCCTCCCTGTGCTGACCGACAATCTGACCGGGCCCCCGCTAACCCGCCAAGCCATCCAATGATGCCACGGACCCCCCTCGGAGCCCAGTAATGCCCCGAGTGCCGGGGCTGGAGCATGGGGGCCGGCAGACAGCACCCCTCTGCAGCACCTTCCTGGCACCCCCGCCCTCTCTTCCCGGCACCTGCAGGAGGGAAGGAGCTGTGCCGCTCGTGGCTTGTCCAGCCTCTGCTGCAGCCAGGGGCAGTGGTGGGCAGAAACCGCATGGACAGAATCGCCACGTGTGAGTGCAGAGGGCAGGCCTGTGCACGCGCGTGCGGTGTGTGGCAACCCACATGCCAGAGGAATAAATATATCTGTTTTTGGTAATGCTGCAGTGGGTCTCTGTGCAGCCCAGGCTGCGACTCCAGTGCCCTTCCACATTTTGAGCAGCTAAAGGTGCTACTGGTTACAGGCCCTTAATCCTCTTTCCACGCTGGGGAATCATGGGTGTCCCTCTCCTCCCCTGCCCCCAGAAGTCTGCACCGCCCATCAGGGAAAAGAGCCAGACTCCCTTAAAAAAAAAAAAAAACATTTATTGGATGGTCTTAAAAAGGCTCCCTGGGGAGTGCTTGGGGAGCAGGGGTGCCATCCTCTGTGCCCAGCCCTGCCCGAGAGCTGAGCTGAGCCGCGTGCTGGCCTGTTCCTGTGCTAGCGGGGAGCAGCAGCTCTGCCGCCTTTCCCCCGGGGCTGGAGCCGAGAGAGCAGGCGTCCAGGCACTGACACTGTCCAAGCGGTTTCCCGTGGCTCTGGCTCCAGTCAGCAGTGTGTGCCAGCACCCCCTTTCCACCAGGCGCTTGAGCCAAAGGGAGCCGCGGTGGCAGAGTGGGTCCCCTGTGCGCTCCCCTGCCTGCGGGGAGGACGTCTGCAGCACCTGGGCCTCAGATGGCCAGGAGCGGCGTGCGCTGCTCAGTCACACAGGGAGGCAGGTCCCAGCTCAGGCCCGTCCCGTGGGGCAGGTGAGGAGAGGGCAGCAGGACACGGGTGAGCCAGTGCCTGTGGGGAGAGGAGTGAGGCCACAGCAAAAAGCTGAAGTCTCAGTGCTTCTCAGCTCTGCAGAGCCAAGGCAGGGCTGTGAGCCCGTGTCCCCGAGGTGCCAGCCGGTCCCCCCGGCCTGCCACAATGGCTGAGCTCCTCAGCCAGGACTCTCTCGGCAAAGGGGTGCTGGGTAGGCCAGAGCTTGCCACCGGGCAGGGCTGAGGAGCCACAAGGCAGCTCATGCCTGAGTCCTCTCTGCCTTGCAAAGCCCAGAGCAGCCCACAGCATGGGATGCTCGCTGTCCTGCTCTGCCCCAGCTGCCCAAGGAGAGCACCAGTGTCCCAGCACCCCCACCGCTGCTGAGCCACCACCTTCCCAGGCAGGGGCTTCCCTGGGGCTTTACCTTGGCATGTCCACGCCCAAGAACACCTTCCAGTTATCCCAGCTGCCATAACTGTAGGGGTTCCTGAAGACCTGCAGGCCGGGGAGACACACATCGCATCCGGCTCTGCCCCGGCCAGCCTTCCTGCTCTGCAGGCTGCGCTCACCTTGCCCTTCTTCTGCAGTCTCTGCCTCTCCTTCTTGTTGATGTGCCGCTCGATGCTGGTTTCCCCACGGGTGATGAGGGCGGCGTGCCACAGCGTGAGGGCACCCAGGGCCAACGCAACTGAGCTAGGGACAGCAAGGGACAACACAGGTTGCAAACAGGTCTCCCTTCCCTGGTGCCGCAGCTGTGGGGGGCTGAGGCTGCCTCCCTGCACCCACAACTGCGTAGGTGGGTGGGGTGGGCTGGTCTAATCCCCTGTGACAGAGCACCGAAATCTCTCCCCTGTGGCCCAAGAGCTGACAGGGCAGGGACATCTGTGCTAGAGCAAGCCAGCCCAGCCCCGGGGAGGCAGAGGGTGAGCAATGTCACAGGTCAGAGGACTGCACGCTGCTTCCCCCAGCACCCTCGCTCCCAGCCCCTGGGACCCGTTACCTGCACAGGACCCAGAGGTAGACCACGCTCTTGTGGAAAGCTCGCTGGTGGAAGGAGAAGGTGGGCGGTGGGGTCTGGTAATATGTCTGAAAAAGGACCAGAGGGGGATAGGATTACCCAAGCTGCTTTATAGCTTGAAGCCAGACAGGGGGGACTGCTGCACCCCTCACTGATGCAGAACTCGGACAGCCAGGAAGGACTGGGGCTAGACAACACCAAACAGCCATG